GGCAGGACCAATCAAGTAAAAACTGAAGCATAGTAGTCTAGACTGGAAACATACATGATCTGATATGATATCAGCGAATGGCCATGGCACTACTTCATGTTTTGAACACGTTTTATCCCCTATATTCACATCTCTTAAATCCCAAGCCTTCTCGCTTTGATCCTTAACTAATGGGAAGTTGTGCTGCGCTTATTATCAAACAAATCATCCTGATGGTATAAATTCCGTCCCTTAGTTAAAACCAGCGTGATAGAAAATTGCCAAATTAAATTATCAAGCGTTGACTCGGGAATTAATTCCTCTGACACCGTTTGAGTAGTGTAAACGACAAGACCAGCATCGAGAGGGCTGCACTAAATGCCTGTGCTTTGGATCTGTTTTATTGCAATTGCCTTCTAATCTATATGCATGACACTCCTAGATCTGTTGTTGGTAGGTGATCTCAAGCACATAGTCGCCGGGCGTTTACTGCCCAACGTTCTTAAACTTAAATTATCCAGCATTATAAAAACACCACCCTCACTTTACAGAGGACGCAGACTGAAGTTATGGAGTGGTTGACAAGCCCAGGATACAAATCAGATTCGATTGATTTATTTGCAATTTAACGTGGTCATATATCCGCTTAATATCTTGTCAAGATTGAAACTGGGACTCACAGATAAAATTTAAGACGATTTCGCGAGCAATTACTACTTTTTTCGGCGACTAAAGGATTTCAGCCAAAGTTTTTGGCATAATTTTCTCTTTAGTAGAAATTGAATCAAATAAGATTACAATGAAGGTAACTTGAGCATGGTGAACAGGATTAAACAGAAACATAGCTGATGGTCCCGTTGTGTCGACTGAGAAAATAATTGTCTTGATAAAAAAGAAAGATATTCCTGCCTGCTCTCTTTAAAACATGTGTCAATGTGATGTATTCACGCTTGTATCAGCCAGTTGCTTCATCATATAATAGGCTGGTCATGACGTTACAAGATGTGAATAGATACAAGCAAAGGTCAGGTAGCTGGGCTATATGATACAGAATGTTAGAGTTTTCACTTATATATTGGCTAGTAAGTACAATGGAATCTGCTTCTCCGGATAATGTTTTATAGCCGTGGTGTTGTTTTATACATGTACGTGGCAAATAACTTTTTAATTTATATAACACGAGGTATATTGACGTGTATATTTTACTGTTACTGAATTCCTGAAGTGATTTACTTAATGCCATCCTTTTATCCTTTTGTTTCTCATACACGAGTGTGACATTTAGAGCATGTTGATATAATGAGAATCTTCCGTATTACGTGTTTTCTTGAAATTATACAACAGGAGCTTACGCAAACGGCATACACCCCACAACAAATATAAAACAATATCAATTTCCTTTCCATTATGAAACCAAACAATTACTGTCATTATAAATGAAACAAATACAAAACATTCATTGGAACACCCGCCATCAGCCAACCAACATATTCCATCCATCTGCGAATATTAAAAAAGGTCCATTTTAAAATCAAACACAACCACTTTGACAAGCATCTCAATCATATCAGTCTCTTCCGAGACCAGTCATGCACCGGTTCAAATATTAACATTTGAACCCCTGTAACTAATGAAAAGTCACCTTTAAATTATTGCTTTGTGAGTAAAGATTCAATTATGTCGTTGCCTCTACAGATATGGTTATTGAGGATAGTGGTTTAAAGCAATTACACCAGCAAGGGAATGCATACCTCAGTACGCCACTCACCAACCAACTGATAGGCACACATGTTAAGGAAGCAAATATATACTGTATATCATAATAGCTCCTTGAAGCATTTATAATGATGTCATAAAAGGAACTTTGTATTTCCATAGTTCTACAAGCCATAGTGTGGCCTTCACGAATCAATGGTTATAAAAAAAACGTTAGTTCCGCTTTCAATAATTTTTCAAATTTCTGAAAAGTTTTCTCGTTTCAATTTACAGATTTGACAACTACATTCAACTACGTGCTTGAACTGTACGTTTTCTGAAACATGTGTGATTGTGAGTGTTGTTTATAAAGAAGTAGATAACTTTATGAAGCACATCGACTTTTGGCGCAGAATGTTACAACTTATGGTACCGCTAAACTAAAACCATCTTAGGGGAGTGAGTTTTAATCCGATAAACAACCCATAATTATTGCTGAGTAAAAAGGAAATGCAAACGCGCGACATCAGGCAACTTCTTTTATAAGTGTGCACATTTACTATTTTAGTGAAAACTATTTCAAAAGGAGTTACAGCTATACAGGTATACATCCTTTTAGATGCATTGGATTTGGTTTCCAAAAGAACCAAGTCAACCTTATAGTATCACCAATGGCAAAAGACAGCTACATGTACACGTCAAGTGGTGGTATGTTTGACATCAGTGTCTGGTTAGGATGAGAAAGCTGTCAAATGGACGGAAGGATCAAACTCTCGTGGATGCATGCCAGAACACATTATATGATAGATGATATGAGACTGAACAAGACGCACTATTTATCTTTATAATTTAATTTAATTTTTTCGCTATTAAAGGTGACTTATAATTGACAATAAACGTAGGGGATATTTCATTTACGGTTGATATTAGTTGCGAACAAAGTAGTATCATTGCATATGGATTCAGAAAATGATTGTTCCATTCGCACTGAATGTTATGAAGTTCGTGCAAATACGTAATGCAAGCGTTTTTCATGATGTGCACGTGAACATGGTCGGGGTAAAATTCTAAATTTACAGAGAAACGAGCCAATAACAACGAGAAAAATGTGCTGCTGTAGATTTCAGTGACGAAAACCACACCGGTATTCTGATATTGTCTTAAAAGCAATTTGACGGTAATGACATGTGACGTTTGTCACATCCAAGAACTGCTGCGAGTAACTGGCATGTTGGAGGTTGGAACAAGGCAAGTTATGATGGCAGATTGAACTAGCAGATTGTAATTACAACAGACAAATAACGTTGATGACAGACGTCGGTCAAGGCGGCCACTGACACACAAGACCGTTTGATCAGATTGCCTGTGTTACGAAACCATCGTCAAAATATAACAGAGGATCCATTCCTCTTGATAAATTCGTACCTGGGTATCTACGTTATTGCTCCATTCCGCATGTAATGTAATCTAGATGATCTATTTAACATCCTAAGCATAACTCAAATCAAGAAACATTTACAGGGAGATTGAATGTTATACTTCAGAAACTTTGCTTCTCAACCCGAAGATGAGCTTCACAGCAACATCGCTGGAACACTCCTCGTTTGGCAAACTTTATGTCTTCGGACTTCATTCTTGAACAGATTGGCGTAGAATCAGCGTTTTCATACCGTTAACGTTAGACAGGACGATCAATTTTGGGGTGGCTCTGTAATGGTGTGGGGTCGGATCACTGTAACTGACCGAACACATTTATATGATATTGACGGACGTGTCCCTGGGTACTACCACCGTGACGACATCCTGCAGACATACGTGGTGCCATTTGGGAGGTGACCTGGGCGTCGTTATGTGTTTCAGGATGACAAAGAAAGAGCACACAGAGCAGTATTGTTACTAGGTAACTCCAACAGGAGAAAAAAACATCTTACCACGGCCAGCACTCAGTAAAGACGTGTCACCAACGTACAAGTCTGGGATATTCCACTTCAGCGCATACGTCATTGTCAACAAGCACCGATCGCAACTACCCCCAACTAACCTGTCGCTGCCCTGCAGGAACAATGGGACCGAATAAACCCAGTTGACATATGGCATTTGAAAAGGAGTATGTCTAGTCGAATCCGGGATTGTCTTGAGAACAAGACTAAGTCTGTGGTCATAACAAAAACAATTAACGCCTAACAAATGTGTATTGGATTTAAGGATTCCATATCAAGCCGAAGGATAAAACCTCAATCAATACTGCTTTCTCCAGAATTGCAGAGTGCACAGAAGACATCAAGACTTGGATGACCATGAATTTCTTAAAGCTGAATGAGGAAAAGACTGAGATGCTTGTGATTGCATCAAAAGCTATGAGAACAAAGTTAACACTTCCCATTCTTAAGTTGTCATCTTGTGTCATCGAACCTAGCCAGGAGGCTAGAAATCTTGGTGTCATGTTTGACTCCACACTCAGTGCTGAATGCCATGTAAGCCGGGTCTGCAAAAAAGCTTACATGAATATCCGAAACATCAGTCAGATACGACAGTTCATCAACAACAAAACAACAACTTTGCTCGTTCAAGCCTGTGTAATCTCCCATCTGGATTATTGCAACTCCCTTCTTCTCGGGCTGCCAAAACGTCTTGTCTTTAAACTTCAGAAAGTCCAGAATTCTGCCGCAAGACTGATCAAGAGAACCAGAAGATCAGTACATATCACCCCAATCCTGAAAGATCTCCACTGGCTCAAAGTTGAGGACAGAATCAAGTTTAAAGTGCTGACTCTGACATTCCGTGCTATCCACCGGGATGCTCCTGCATACATTTCTGAACTCATCCAAGAATATAAACCTGAGAGAACTCTACGTTCCTGTAACCAGTGTCTCTTGAAGCTTCCGTCAGCTCGTACATCACTTGGCGAGAGAAGTTTCGAAATCTCAGCCCCCCAGTTATGGAACTCCCTCCCACTTGAAATAAGAAGTGCCCCTGAGTTTGAATCATTCAAATCACTACTGAAAACACATTTGTTTAAAGTCTGCTACTGTTAGACTGTGTATTCCCAGGACAGTTCATTGCTCACAAGCGCTTTTGAGCAGTTCATTATACTGGAAACAAGCGCTATACAAGTGTATATTTATTATTTATTATTATTATATCTGGTTGACCTATTGAGTGGCTATTTACTCATGTAAGCGGGTTTACGCTTATCTGGTTATATTGGTGTTGATTGTGATGTGTATGTTATATAAGACGTGTGAAGTAACGTTGACGTATTCCACCATAAGTGTTCAGGTGTCGATTGCAGAATATAAATTCTAATCAACTAAAGGCGTATTTACCTGACATGATCCCTCGGCTACCTGACGTCCAGCTGGGATGGTGGTACCGGGATGGTGTGTAGTCAGCACTGGGTGTCTGTCGGATTTGACGACTCATGACTCCCACGCTAATACTGGCACATGCAGTTACTAGGAGCACTGACGAGCTCCATCTCTTCTGTTCACATTCAATACAACATAACGGAGTTGATATTTGTCCAAAAGTAGAACCCAAGCGGTATACACAGCACGGGAGCGAAACTAGAAACTGATTAAGTCCGAACTGAGGATATGAATATATGCCATGCACAAAGGCCACAGCACTGGGATGCTGCTTGCAATATGCCGGTGCTGTTTGTGAACCACTGCCAACCTGGCGTTTACTGGGATTTGGGGTTTTAATTAGAGTCGCGTTTGTATCTTTGAGATGACCTGATTACCCCGGAGTATCAACACAATGACAGCCACAACCAGAACTAATGAGATTTGACCTGCTTCTATGTGTAACATCACTATGATAAATGTGATGACGTCTTGTGGGTGTATAACATCTGAACGCAATTACAAAAACAAATTATTCACATCTAAATTACATTCCTTGATTGCCATCAGATATAGCACATGCATTCATGTGCATCGCGGCTCTTGAATATAATGTCAATATTTAATAATTCTAAAATACACTATATACTGGATGTCTCTCCTAAGTAAGAGGTAACAGAAAAATGTCTTTAAAACAGAGTGTACTTAGTAGCATGTAGTAACAGCTGATTGACAGAGACATTTAATATATAGCACCGGGTAATATAAGAAAAACCCAGGTATAACATACAGCATCAGTTGATGAAAAAAAACTCGTATTACCAGTAACGTCAGTTGATAAAGGAAGCTTTAGTATTAGATGACAAATCACAGTTACACCTGTAACACGTAGCATCAACTGGCATTGGAAGATCCATATATATCACGCAGCATCAACTGACATCGGAAGATCCATATCTAACACGTAGCATCAACTGACATTGGAAGATCCATATCTAACACGTAGGATAACAGACATTGGAAGATACATATCAAAGACGCAGCATCAACTGACATTGGAAGATCCATATCTAACACGTAGCATCAACTGACATTGGAAGATCCATATCTAACACGTAGCATCAACTGACATTGGAAGATCCATATCTAACACGTAGCATCAACAGACATAGGGTTGATCCATATCTAAGACGTAGCATCAACTGACATTGGAAGATCCATATCTAACAGGTAGCATCAACTGACATTGGAAGATCCATATCAAAGACGTAGCATCAACTGACATTGGAAGATCCATATCTAACACGTAGCATCAACAGACATTGGAAGATCCATATCTAACACGTAGGATCAACTGACATTGGAAGATCCATATCTAACACATAGCATCAACTGACATTGGAAGATCCATATCAAAGACGTAGCATCAACTGACATTGGAAGATCCATATCTAACACGTAGCATCAACTGACATAGGAAGATCCATATCTAACAGGTAGCATCAACTGACATCGGAAGATCCATATCTAACACGTAACATCAACTGACATTGGAAGTTCAATATCAAAGACGTAGCATCAACTGACATCGGAAGATCCATATCTAACACGTAGCATCAACTGACATTGGAAGTTCAATATCAAAGATCTATATCTAACAGGTAGCATCAACTGACATCGGAAGATCGATATCTAACACGTAGCATCAACTGACATTGGAAGATCCATATCTAACACGTAGCATCAACAGACATTGGAAGATACATATCTAACACGTAGCATCAACAGACATTGGAAGATACATATCTAACACGTAGCATCAACTAACATTGGAAGATACATATCTAACACGTAGCATCAACTGACATTGGAAGATACATATCTAACACGTAGCATTAACTGACATTGGAAGATACATATCTAACATGTAACATCAACTGACATTGGAAGATACATATCTAACATGTAGCATCAACTGACATTGGAAGATCCATATCTAACACGTAGCATCAACTGACATTGGAAGATACATATCTAACACGTAACATCAACTGACATTGGAAGATCCATATCTAACACGTAGCATCAACTGACATAGGAAGATCCATATCAAAGACGTAGCATCAACTGACATTGGAAGATCCATATCTAACAGGTAGCATCAACTGACATTGGAAGATCCATATCTAACACGTAACATCAACAGACATTGGAAGATCCATATCTAACACGTAGCATCAACTGACATCGGAAGATCCATATCTAACACGTAGCATCAACAGACATTGGAAGATCCATATCTAACACGTAACATCAACTGACATTGGAAGATACATATCTAACACGTAGCATCAACTGACATTGGAAGATCCATATCTAACATGTAGCATCAACTGACATCGGAAGATCCATATCTAACACGTACCATCAACTGACATTGGAAGATCCATATCTAACACGTAGCATCAACTGACATTGGAAGATCCATATCAAAGACGTAGCATCAACAGACATTGGAAGATCCATATCTAACACGTAACATCAACTGACATTGGAAGATCCATATCAAAGACGTAGCATCAACTGACATTGGAAGATCCATATCTTACAGGTAGCATCAACTGACACTGGAAGATCCATATCAAAGACGTAGCATCAACTGACATCGGAAGATACATATCTGACACGTAGCATCAACTGACATCATAAGATCCATATCCAACACGTAGCATCAACTGACATTGGAAGATCCATATCTAACAGGTAGCATCAACTGACATCGGATGATCCATATCTAACATGTAGCATCAACTGACATTGGAAGATCCATATCTAACACGTAGCATCAACTGACATTGGAAGATACATATCAAAGACGTAGCATCAACTGACATTGGAAGATCCATATCTAACAGGTGGCATCAACTGACATTGGAAGATCCATATCTAACACGTAGCATCAACAGACATTGGAAGATCCATATCTAACAGGTAGCGTCAACTGACATCGGAAGATCCATATCTAACACATAGCATCAACTGACATTGGAAGATCCATATCTAACACAGAGCATCAACTGACATTGGAAGATCCATATCTAACAGGTAGCATCAACTGACATTGGAAGATACATATCTAACACGTAGCATCAACTGACATTGGAAGATCCATATCTAACACGTAGCGTCAACTGACATTGGAAGATACATATCTAACACGTAGCATCAACAGACTTTGGAACATACATATCTAACACGTAGCATCAACTGACATTGGAAGATACATATCTAACACGTAGCATCAACTGACATTGGAAGATACATATCAAAGACGTAGCATCAACTGACATTGGAAGATCAATATCTAACAGGTGGCATCAGCTGACATTGGAAGATCCATATCTAACACGTAGCATCAACAGACATTGGAAGATCCATATCTAACAGGTAGCGTCAACTGACATCGGAAGATCCATATCTAACACATAGCATCAACTGACATTGGAAGATCCATATCTAACACATAGCATCAACTGACATTGGAAGATCCATATCTAACACGTAGCATCAACTGACATCGGAAGATCCATATCTAACACGTAGCATCAACTGACATTGGAAGATACATATCTAACACGTAGCATCAACTGACATTGGAAGATCCATATCTAACACGTAACATCAACTGACATTGGAAGATCCATATCTAACACGTAGCATCAACTGACATTGGAAGATCCATATCTAACACGTAGCATCAACTGACATTCGAAAATCCATATCTAACCGGTAGCATCAACTGACATTGGAAGATCCATATCTAACAGGTAACATCAACTGACATCGGAAGATCCATATCTAACACGTAGCATCAACTGACATTGGAAGATACATATCTAACACGTAGCATCAACTGACATTGGAAGATCCATATCTAACACGTAGCATCAACTGACATTGGAAGATACATATCTAACACGTAGCATCAACTGACATCGGAAGATCCATATCTAACACGTAGCATCAACTGACATTGGAAGATCCATATCTAACACGTAGCATCAACAGACATTGGAAGATCCATATCTAACAGGTAGCATCAACTGACATTGGAAGATCCATATCTAACACGTAGCATCAACTGACATTCGAAAATCCATATCTAACACGTAGCATCAACTGACATTGGAAGATCCATATCTAACACATAGCATCAACTGACATTGGAAGATCCATATCTAACACGTAGCATCAACTGACATTGGAAGATCAATATCTAACAGGTAGCATCAACTGACATCAGAAGATCCATATCTAACACGTAGCATCAACAGACATTGGAAGATCCATATCTAACATGTAGCATCAACTGACATTGGAAGATCCATATCTAACACGTAGCATCAACTGACATTGGAAGATACATATCTAACACGTAGCATCAACTGACATTGGAAGATCCATATCTAACACGTAGCGTCAACTGACATTGGAAGATACATATCTAACACGTAGCATCAACAGACTTTGGAAGATACATATCTAACACGTAGCATCAACTGACATTGGAAGATACATATCTAACACGTAGCATCAACTGACATTGGAAGATACATATCTAACATGTAGCATCAACTGACATTGGAAGATACATATCTAACATGTAGCATCAACTGACATTGGAAGATACATATCTAACATGTAGCATCAACTGACATTCGAAGATACATATCTAACACGTAGCATCAACTGACATTGGAAGATCCATATCTAACACATAGCATCAGCTGACATTGGAAGATCCATATCTAACATGTAGCATCAACTGACATTGGAAGATACATATCTAACACGTAGCATCAACTGACATTGGAAGATACATATCTAACACGTAGCATCAACTGACATTGGAAGATCCATATCAAAGACGTAGCATCAACAGACATTGGAAGATCCATATCTAACCGGTAGCATCAACTGACATTGGAAGATCCATATCTAACACGTAGCATCAACTGACATTGGAAGATCAATATCAAAGACGTAGCATCAACTGACATTGGAAGCTCCATATCTAACAGGTAGCATCAACAGACATTGGAAGATCCATATCTAACACGTAGCATCAACAGACATTGGAAGATCCATATCTAACACGTAGCATCAACTGACATTGGAAGATCAATATCTAACACGTAGCATCAACAGACATTGGAAGATCCATATCTAACACGTAACATCAACTGACATTGGAAGATCCATATCTAACTCGTAGCATCAAATGACATTGGAAGATCCATATCTAACAGGTAGCATCAACAGACATTGGAAGATCCATATCTAACACGTAGCATCAACTGACATAGGAAGATCCATATCAAAGACGTAGCATCAACAGACATTGGAAGATCCATATCTAACACGTAACATCAACTGACAT